AAGAAGAAAATGCTCAAGTCCGTCAAAAACCGAAGGAAAATCAATGATTTTGGCTTCTTCGGGCCTTCCTGGAGGACGTGTGCCCCGGCATCTTGGGCTGTCTTGGAGGCACCTTGGGCGCCTCTTGGGCCACCTTCGGCTCCCTTGGGGATGTTTCTGCCGTCTCGGATGCCATCTTGGTCGTCTTGGAGGTCATCTTGGCAGTCTTGAGGTATCTTGGAGACCATCTTGGTCGTTTTTGAGACCTCTTGGGCCGTCTTGGGACCCTCTTGGGGCTGGCTTGAAGGCCTCTTGGGCCGTTCTGGAGTCTTCTGGGAGGCCTCTGGGACTAGTTGGGGGACTCCTTGGGCCGTCTTAGGCGGTCGGAACACCAAAACCGAGGAACAACAAAAACCGTTCAAACAACTACGGAAAATTACAGATTTTGGCTCCCTCAGGCCTTCCTGGAGCACCTCTTGGACTCCTCGGGGGCAATCTTGGAACCTCTCGGGCCCATCTTGGGCCATCTTGGCCGTCTTGAAGCTAATCTTGACCGTGTTGGCACCATCTTGGAGGCCATCTTGGCCGTCTTGGAGATCGTCTTGGACGTCTTGGAGGCCTCTGGAGCCGTCTTGGCGCCCTCTTGGGGCCGTCTTGGGGGCATCTTGGGCCGTCATAGGGCCATCTTGGAGGCCTCTTGGGCACTCTGGGGGCGATCTTTCGGGCTCCTTGGGCCGTCGTGAGCCGTCGGAAGGCTCGAAAAGAACAAAAGCCAAAATCCTTCAAAAGCCTTAGGAAAACATTGATTTTGACCTGTTCGGGCTCTCGTGGAGGACCTCTTGGAGGCCTCTTGGGCCGTCTTGGAGGCCCATGGGGCCGTCTTGGGCCGTCTGACAGGTTTCTTGTGCAAACTTGAAGGCATCTTGGACTCTCCTCGGCCGTCTTGGAGGCCATCTTGGACCATCTTGGGCGAACCTGGAGGCCATCTTGGGCCATCTTGGCCAAAATCATTTTGGAGCCATCTGGAGCAGGAACAACTTTTGGAACCAGCCTTTCCGGGCCATTCCGGGACCCCGACGGGCGGGGCCGAAACCCCAGGGAGAGTTCTTTTGGAAAAAGAACCAAAACCAAAAGCGAAAGGATTCAGCACGCCAGGCACCCCTGTGATGAATCAACAGGTGGCGGCGGATCGAAGACGCCTACGGCGAATCACCGCCGCCCCCTGCCTTTTTGGAAGCGCCTATGTGGCCGAAGGTTGAGGCCAGACCTGCCAAGCTATCATACCATGTGTTCCCCGAATCCGTTTGGAAAGCCTTCGGGGAACACGTGGGCATCGTGAAGGTCATCTTGGCCGCCTGGAGGCCATTTTCACCCTTTCGGGCCTTCTCGGAGGACGTCTTCGAGGGCTCTTGGGCCGTCTTGGAGGCCATCTTGAGCGTCTTGGAGGCCTCCTGGGCCGTCTTGGGGGCCTCGTGGGGCCATCTTGGGCCTCTTGGGCGATCTTTGGGGGCACTTGGGTCGTCTGGGGTCGTCGGAAGGCCGAACAAAAAGCAAATGCCACAATCCTTGAAAAACTCATGTGAAATCAAGGTTTTTCGGGCCTTCTGGAGGCCCTCTTGGAGGCCTCTTGGGCCGTCTTGGGCCATCTTAGGGCCATCTTTGGCCGTGACAGAAACAAGCAAACCGCTTAAGGCATCCCCACAAAACGGCCGCGACCGGGGCGTGCGTGAGTTTCACCATGAGTAAGTCTGAGTAGGAGTAAGTCTGGGTATGAGTAAGTCTGAGTGTGAGTCAGTCTGTGTATGAATAAGTCTGGGTATGAGGAGGAGAGGGGAGGAGAAGGAGAAGAAGGAGGAGGAGTAGGAGGCGTCCAAGTAATAACAAGAGCCCCATCTTAGGATATGGGGAATAACAAGAAGCCCATCTTAGGTTATGGGGACTAGTGGGACATCAAGGATTTGTTTGGCCTTTTTTGGCCTTCTCTTGCCTTTTTTTGGCCTTTTCTGGCCTTCCTGGGGGCCCTCTTGGAGGCCTCTTGGGCCATCTTGGGCTAGCTTCGAGCCAACTTCGGCCATCTTTGCGGGCTCCAGAGGCCATCTTGGGCGTCTTGGAGGCCTCTTGGGTCGTCTTTGTGCCCTCTTGGGGCCGTCTTGGGGGTTCTTGGGCAGTCCTGAGGCCATCTTGGAGGCCTCTTTGGCGTTGTGGGGGCGATCTTGGGGGCCTCTTGGGCCGTCTCGGGTCGTCGGAACGCCGAAAAGGAGCAAATACGGAAAACCTTTAAAAACGCTTAGGAAAATCAATGATTTTAGCCTCTTCGGGCCCTCCTGGAGGACCTCTCGGAAGCCTCTTGGGCCGTCTTGGAGGCCTCTTGGGCACCTCTTGGGCCGTCATGGGCCGTCTTGGAGGTTTCTTGGGCGGACTTGGAGGCATCTCCTTCTCTCCTGAGCCGTCTTGGAGGCCATCTTGGGAGAACTTGGGTGCCATCTTGGGCCAACGTGGCCATCTTGGAGGCCATCTTGGGCCATCTTGAGCGAAAAATTTGGGAATTGAGCTCCTTGAGAGCCTTTCCCGGTGGCCGGCGGGACGCGCCGGAGCCCCAGGGGGAGTTCTTTTGGAAGAAGAACCAAAACCAAAATCGATAGGATCCAGCACGCCAGGCACCCCTGTGATGAATCACAAGGGGGCGGCGGATCCTAGTAGCCTTCGGTCCATCCCGCCACCGTGCTTGGGTTGTGGGTCTGAGGCCTCTTGTATATGTATTGGGGTGCCGTGGGGTGCCTCTCGGGGGCCTCTTGGAGGCGGTTTGGGCGCCTCTTGGGGGCCTCTTGGGGCCTCGTGGGGTATCTTTTGGGCCTCTTGCAGGCCTCTTGGGCGCGTCTTGGGCGCCTCTTGGGGCCTCTTGGGGCCTCTTGGCGGCCTCTTGGGGCCTCCTGGGGGTTTCTCGGGGCACAAATAAAGATTTTTTGGTTCGTGATCCCCTGCTTGGGCCTCTCTTGGAGCCATCTTGAGCGGGGGCCGAGGAGGACGACGCCGACGACGAGGGCGAGGAGGAGAAGACGACGTTGACGACGACGGCGTCTCTCTCTCTCTCTCTCTTTCTCCCCTCTGTCGGCCATCTTTTCTCTCGCTCCTCTCCCCTCTTGCTTGTCCTCCCTGTTGCCCTCTTCCTCTCCAGCTTCCATTGCTTGTCTCCTTGTGTGTGCTGCGGAGGTCGACGGGCGTACTGTGGGACAAGGCGGTCGCGGCATGACTGTTCCCTGGGAGCGCGAATAGAGTTGCTGGGTAAAGCCGAGATGTGACGAGCATGGGTGCTTGTTAGAGGAAGGTGTGGACGACGAGGTGTTGACGAGTCAGAGATGTTGATCTGGGTGTAGTCAGGGACACAGTGGAAGGTGGACGAGGAGAAGGATGTGGCTACTGACGGTGCGGAAGAGAAGGATTCGGTTCTGGCGTCGCGTGTGCGCCGAGATATTGAGGTGATAACCATCATGCCCGCTGTGGCAGCATCGGCGCCCTTGCCAACCCTGCACGCCGCCCGCACGCGAGAGCCGATCCGTGCACGGGCTAGTCCTGCCTCCCAGCGCAGAGTCCTCCTCCTCCTCCTCCTCCGCCTCCGCCTCCCCCCCCTCCTCCTCCTGTGAGTTGTACGTGAATGATCTATGCGCGCTCGTAATTAGTTTTTCGGCTCAGACGCATGAGGCCAGAGGTTGGCATCGGTCTCTTCGCAGTCGGACTTGCGAGGGAGCTCGCTTCGCTAGCTTCACTTTCCGCACGACACCAGTGCCCAGACTGTTTCTGTGATTGCCCTCGGCCTTCGGAGTGTCCGAAGGCTCCTGACTGTGTGTGTCCGCCGCCGCTGGAACGTCATCCCGTGTGTGAGGTGCCGCCTGATTTCTTCAACAGGACGTGCTTCGCCGCACCCACGGACGACACCGTCTCCCTTGCCAGCGTCGGCCTCTTGGGAGTGCTTTTCGGAGCAGTGGTCGGAGGTCTGCTCACTCGGTTTTGTTGTCCTCGTCGTGTTGCTGCCCCTCGTCGAGGAGGGTACGGTCGCATTGAACAGTGATGGCGGGGGCCGTGGAGGCTCTGCCAGGTGGCTATGCCATCTACTGGTACGAAGGGGACGATTATGGTCATGAACGGATTTTGTTGAGGGAAGTTAAGTCACTGGATGACAGACGTATCTGGGTTGGGGCCTCGCCTGACTTCGATGTCTATGCGGAGGAGTGGAACACCACGGGATATCGCGGGCCCATCAGAGTAGAGCTGTTGAAAGGTCGCACTGTGCCAAGGGGTTTTCTTAGGCCCATCTACCGCTTCGATCAGAAGGTTCCCTGGGACAAGTTCACGGAGCTTCGGGCCGAGGCGTCGCAGGTCATCTTCGACGAAGGGCTCGAGGAGATCGCTCACGCGAGAGTGCAAGATGACACGTTCGCGATCAGGAATTTCCGTCGGCCCCTCCTTGGATCACGAGGTCCTGCTCCTCCTCTGCCGCAGCATGCAGATGGGCAGGCTGACCTTGCCGACGCTCTTGGGAGTGACGAGGTCCGGGTCGTGTCGGAGCCCGTCTTCGACGGGGACCAGGAGGTGGCGAGGATCGGCACTCAGGTCGCCAAGGAGTCCGTGGCGAGCAGGCTGGGGAACCGCGGGTTCGCCAAGTTTGGCTCGGTCGTCGCGGCGCTCGAGCGGATCAAGGTGGAGGAGCTCGACGGCTACTTCGCGGGCCGCAAGAACCTGCTCCTGGTGGGCCTGGGAGGCACTCGCACGCCCGAGGAGCGAGAGGGAGCCCCTGGCTCGCCCACAGGCCTCCAGGCCCTTCGTGAGGCTCTTGCAGGCCCACAGCTCCCTGGAACGGGTGAGGAGCCTGACAAGAAGGCGGACGAGGACGTTCGCACGCTGTCGGTGAAGTTCAACGCCTTCAACCGCAGGGAGCGCGTCTGGGTGGACTCGGTCAAGGAGATGGTCGAGGACGCCTTCTCGGACTGGCCTTTGGATGGTCCTCGCACGTTCTTGTGGTTGATGATGTCGTTTGCTCAGCTCGCGATGGCGCCCGCGTTCTGGCTGGGGCGCCACCTCCAGACGGCGGGTTGGAGCGAGAACGATCGCTCTATTCATGAGATGCGGGTGATGGCGGAGGTTTTCGAGCTGGCTATCTCTTACGATCAGCTTAATGTGGCTTCGCTCGCGGCCTTCGAGAGGTTGGGGCGGAGATGGCAAGCTATGCTTGAGGCTCATGGTAAGAACCCCATGAACCCGAACTACGAGATTGCTGATAAGTTCTCGGGCTACAATCGCCGTACACAGCTTGTGGCGCCGGCGCTTCGCACCTACGTGGCCAAGGAGGTGCGGGAGGAGGCTGAGATCGACAAGCAGACTAGCAAGGCCAAGGCTCTGAGGGACGAGGCCAAGGTCGCCCTCGAGCGCGGGAAGTCCGCTGGGAAGGGCAAGGGCAAGGAGGATAGCAAGGATGAGTGAGGCCTCCTTCCTTGCCAGCAAGACCGTTGATAGTGCGTGCCGCAGTCGCCGCGCGGCATGCGCGCTGACAGGCGAGAGTGATGCGCAGGAGGCACGACAGGTGCCGCTGTTTCCGCTCGAGTTTTGTGACCACTCAGCTCCTCCGTCGACGCGTCTCTCGAGAAGGTGCAGACGGAGAGCGAACCTCAGGAGCCATCAGTCGCGTGAGTTCGGGGACGTTTTGACGGGCCTCAATTGGCTGTATTCCCGAGCTTCGAGCCCTCTCGTTCGCCAAGAAGTGGTGGGCGAGATTCATGATTTTGTCGCGGGACGAGTTGCCCAACAGCCGCCTGTGCCGCCTTTTTTGGATAAGGAGGGAGCCGTGCGCGAGCTCCTCCAGAGCAAGTTTGGTTATGACCGCACAGCTTCCACGGTCGTCGAGTTCGATCGAGCCCTTGTCTCTCTGCCCGAAGGAGTCCAGGACAGGAGGTTACTTCAGGACTTGGTTTCTCAGGAGGACAGGGAGGCGGTGGTGAACTTTAGGGAGAGCATGATGAGAGATGTGAAGGAAGTGATGCAAATGAGAGACTACGGCGAGTCTATTAACCCGTATTTTGACCAGAAGCTTCGCACTCGACGGCACGAGTACGTTCGCTTTCTGAATATGTTGCACAGGCGTGGTCTCATCAGGTGGTCGACTACGCCCAAAGAGATTGCGACCCCGTTCTTTGTCAGAAAAAAGGATGGAAGACGGCGACTTGTCATCGTTGCAAGACGTACTAATCAGCTTTTCCGAGATCCTCCTAGTACTCTATTGGCCACGCCCGAGAGTTTCGCTCGGCTGGAGGTTGAGGGAGGTGTTGAGCTTTTTGAGGCGTCTCTTGACGTGGACAATTGCTTCCACAGAATCGGTATAGACAGCGACTTGGGCGATTATTTCGCCCTGCCCCCCGTTCGCGCACGAGAGCTAGGTCTGGCACATGTTTGGGGGCGGGAGGTGCCTGGAGACGGGCTTGTGTGGGCCGCCATGGCTGTGCCCCCCATGGGCTTCTCTTGGTCGGTCTTCTGGGCCCAGCGTATCAATGCTCGCCTGGTTCGGGAGGCTTCAGGAATGGAAGGCTCTGTGGCGGTGGAGGGCAGGGGGGGGCGGGCTCATCATAAGTAAGGACTCCGCGCCCGTCTTTTACGTGTATGTGGACAACGTGGGGGTCTTGGGAGCGGGCGAGATTGAGGTCCAGAAGTCGCTTGATAACATCAAAAACGTTCTTAACTCCAACAAAATGCAGTGTCACGAAGTCCAGGAGGCAGGCCAAGTTCGGGGCGCTCTTGGGATCGAGTTCAACGGCGAACTAAAGTGTTTCAGGCCTGCTGAGGAGCGATACTGGAAGATTCGTTGGTCTCTGGAGGCTTTCTTGAAGGCGCCCAAGGTAACGGGGAAAGCCCTCGAGGTTCTTCTGGGCCACTGCACCTACCTCGCTATGCTTCAGCGCCCTCTCCTCTCCTGCTTCGCCTCGGTCTACAAGTTCGCTCGGCGGTGCCGTCACTCGTGGGCTCCACTGTGGCCAACGGCGCGTGGGGAGCTCGAGGCTTTCTTCTGCCTCATGCCTCTTATCCGCTCGGACTGGTCCCGCGGTTGGCTTGGAGAAGTGTTGACGTATGACTCCTGCCCTGAGGGTGCTGGAGCTTGTGTTGCTACTAGGTCTTCTGCCTGGGCGGCCGCTCATGGGAGAGTCCAGGAGAGAGCCAGATTTGTTCGTCGGGATGCAGCGCAGGCTCGCGGGCATGCGCTTTCTTGCCTCGACCCTGATGACCCCCTGGTGTTTGTGACGCCGCCGCCGTCGTTTGAGGACGTGTCGGAGCTTTGGGAGCAAGATCTGTTGTTTCCTGAGGTTCCGCTCGAGGGGCTTGTGGGGAAGGACTGGGAAGTGCTATTCTGCCATTCTTGGAGGAGAAAGATGACTGTGCATGAGGGGGAAGCCAGAGCTGGAGTCCTTGGGATCGCAAATGTGGTTTTGGAACCTGGGGTGCATAGCTGTCGTCTGCTGGCCCTTGGGGACAATCTCGGTGTCACGCTCAGCTTTGCAAGATCCAGGGCCCGTGCCTTTCCTCTGCTGGTGCAGGTTCGGCGGGCGGCGGCGCTGGCGCTGTCGCGAAACCTCTCCGTGGGGTTCAGGTGGATCCCGAGCGAGTTCAACAGCTCCGACAAACCTTCCAGGGGCCCCGGGCTGCAGCGGGGGAACACGGTCGAGTTGAGCGTCACTCCTGATATACGCCGTCTCGCTCGAGAACGGCAAAGCTCTGTAGCCGTTTTGGCCAAGCATGAAGACCCACCATGCTCTGCTTCTTTACTTGATTGGGCTCGACATGTCCTTGGTGAGGAAGGCCAAGAGAGCAGCTCCGACGGAGGAGAGGGAAGTTCGTGTGCTTGTTCGTCGTACGGACCCGTTGCCTCTAGAGAAGAGGTGGCAGGCTACTTTACAACAGCGACGCGATCGCCTCCCCTTGCCCGTGCTGCTGGAGGAAGCGGAGAGGGATGCCAACCGTCTGGAAGCTTCGGACGGCACGACCTCGGAGGAGGATGGCAACCCGCTCGTGCAGGATCGCGTGCTGAGGCGAAAGGTCCACCATGCGAAGATGGCAGAAGAGCCAGATATGAAGCACGTTTCGGTGCTAGAACGAAGCTCGGTAGGAGAACGAACCTGGGCGCAATATCGAACGCTATATCGAGGCCTGGTGGACTACGTCGACGAGCGCAAGCTGAACACCGACAAAGTGCAGGACTTCGACGTGGCCATTGTCTCCTTCATGACCCACATGTACATGCTGGGCTACGACGCGGGCATCGGCCAGAAGTTGATCGCAGCCGTGGTGTTCTTTCAACCTCGTTTCGGCAAGCTAGGCGACCTTTCTCTTCCGCGAGCCTGGCGGGCTGCCAGGGGCTGGGCCAAATTGGACCCGCCACGCAGTCGGCAGCCCTTGACCCTGCCGACGGTCGCAGGGTTGGCCGCGTTGCTCGCCTACGAAGGTTACCTGGACATGGCCATCTGGACGATCATCGCTTTCTGCACCTACCTGCGTCCAGGCTCTATGATGCAGCTCACCAGAGGCTCGCTGGTCCCACCTACCATGAAGGTCGATACCATGTGGCGTGTGCTGGCGCACAGGTCAGACCTCCACCAGGTCTCGAAGGTGGGAACTCAGGACGACACCATCTTGTGGGACACTCAGGGTTTTGAATGGATGGGCGAAGTTCTTCAGATTCTAGCCGTTGGAAAACGTAAGGAGTGCTTGTGGCATTTTACCTATCCGGAGTTAGCACGTGAAATTCGTAAGCAAGGCCGACGGCTCGGCCAAGACATTGTACCCTACCAGTTGCGCCATGCGGGCGCCTCCTGGGATATATATATATATATATATATATATAAGAAGCATCGCAACCTGTGCGAAGTGCAACGTCGTGGTGGTTGGATGTCTACCAAAAGTGTGCAGCGCTATGAGAAGTCAGGCATGATGATGAAAGACTACGCCCTGCTTCCCCTGGCGCTGCGCTGCTGGCTCGAGGAGCAGGTACACGCGCTCAAGGACTCGATCCTCAGAGGCCGAGCGGTGCAGCCGCCGCCGCCGCTTGTTTTCAGTGCCCGTAGCAAGCGTGCAGCTACTCCTCCCAACACAGCAAAGTAGGTGACACATCATGTTATGGGTGATATGGATGAGTGTGCGCCGCCGTGCCTCTGCTCTCCCACGCTCGTGTGCAGTCAGACTCCAGACGGCGCTGGCATCAGACACTAGGAAACTGAGAAACAGAGCGCGGGGGGATCATGTGAGTTGTACGTGAATGATCTATGCGCGCTCGTAATTAGTTTTTCGGCTCCCCGTGGCCTTTCCCAAGCCGTTTTCATTCTTTCACATCGGGTGAGTGTGCGCCGCCGTGCCTCTGCTCTCCCACGCTCGTGTGCAGTCAGACTCCAGACGGCGCTGGCATCAGACACTAGGAAACTGAGAAACAGAGCGCGGGGGGATCCTCCTCCTCCTCCTCCTCCTCATTCTCCTCCTCCTCCTCCTCCTCCTCCTCCTCCTCCTCCTCCTCCCCTCGTCGTCCTGCATGCGCGCCTCTGTGCCCCTGCCTGCCCCCTCGTGCCTCCGCGTGCCGATGCCCCTTCGCATCCATCCACATGTCTGCACTCGGCTGCGAGCGAGGGGTGGAAGTGGGAAGGAGAAGGCCCTCTCAGGAGGTTCGGACGTCGCCCGGCCTTCTGGGAAGTTCTCGGAGCCCTCCCCGAAGACGGGCAGCGGCTTGTGAGAAGGCGCGAGGGCTTCTGAGGAGTCCCGCCGCCTTCTGAGAGGACCTCTTTCTCACCTCCCCCCCCTCGCTCGCCGCCGAACGTCTGCGCGCCCGCGCGTGCGGACGCGGGCAAGCTCGCCAGCGCGCACAGCGCGCGTGCGCGCGGCCGACCCGTCGGCCGCATTGTGCGCGCGAGCGCGCCCCGCGCCCCGCGCGCACAGGCGCGCGCGGGGGGCGCCGCTCGCCAGGCGAAGGCCCGCGAGGAACAGTTCGGCGAGTACAGCGTCGTGGTCGTCGCGCGCGACGACGACTACTGGATCGGGCCGCGCGCGCCTCGGCCGGAAGGCGGAGGGGGCGCCTCGAATCGGTCCTTGGGGGCGAGGCGAGGGGTCGGCAGCGGCAGGGGGTGTATGATGATGAGGAGGAGGAGGAGGACGATGGTGGTGGCGGCGATGATGAGTGTGAGGGTGAGGGTGAGGGTGAGGGCGAGGGCGAGGGCGAGGGTGATGATGATGATGATGATGATGATGATGATGATGATGATGTCGATGATGATGATGATGATGATGCCGATGGTGATGGTTATCATGATGTTGTTGATGATGATGATGATGATGTTTGTTGCTGCTGATGATGATGGCTTTGGTGATGAGTATGACGATGATGATGATGATCATGATGATGATGATGATGATGCTGATGCTGATGCTGATGCTGATGCTGATGACGATGATGATGACGATGATGAGGATGATGATGATGATGATGATGATGATGATGATGATGATGCTGATGCTGATGTTGCTGCTGCTGCTGATGACGAAGATGATGATGATGATGATGATGATGATGATGATGATGATGATGATGATGATGATGATGATGATGATGATGATGATGATGATGATGATGATGATGATGATGATGATGATGATGATGATGATGAGCCTGGGCAGCAGCATGATTGCACCCTTGGAGGGCGCGCCGCCCCCCATGCCAGAGCTGTCTCTCGCTCTCGCTCGCTCTCTCTCTCTCTCTATGTCTTCTTCAACTCACGCCCCTCGGCAGCCCTGAAGAATCCCACAGGTGGTGCGACGACGACGACGACGAAGACGAGGACGAGCACTGCGACGGCGACGACGACGACGACGACCACCGGGCCGTGGGCACACAGGGCTGGACAGGCGCAAACGTGGATCGGGGTGCGTTGATCAGCGGCTTGCCCATGTTGAAGGGGCCCTGGGACACACAAATAAATACACACAAATCAAAAGGTCCCCCAAATTTTCCCATATTTTCTGGGTTTTTGTCTTCCCGCCCAATTCCCATATTTTCCCATATTTTCTTGGGGATCGACGATTCATTGTGTCTGTGTGTTTTTCCCCTCCTGACATGTCTCCACGCGAGATTCGCACCAGGCCCTCGTGCCTCCGGCCGCCCGCGCGCCCTGCGGATTACCGACTCCCGCGCGCTGCGATCGCTGGCGCTGCCGACTGAAAAGTGCGCCTCTGTTCGAGATCGGTCAGGAGGGAAAAAAACACACAGACACAATTTGTCGTCGATTCCCCAGAAGATATGGGAAAGTGTGGGAAGTGGGGGGGAAGACAGAAACCCAGAAAACATGGGAAAGTATGGGGAATCCTTTTATTTGTGTGTATTTATTTGTGCGCCCCAGGGCCCCTTTAATCGGCGCGCTCCGTCGACACATGAGGCGCCAATGGCGCCACGTTTCGGGGGGCGCCTTCCCCGACTGCCCTCGTGGGGGTCTGCTGTGCAATCCTGGGGCCCTGTGGGGCAGTTTTGGGGCCCTTTTGGGGGGCATTTTGGGCCGTCTTGGGGCGAGGCGACCTCGTGGGCCTCTACCACCGTCTTGGACACCCGGAAGATCGAGAAAGGCGAGTGCGTCGAACATGTCGAACAACCGAAAGCAAAACACTGATTTTTGTCTCTTGGCGCCCTCTTGAAGGTCCTCCAAGGGGCTCTCTTGGGCCGTTTTGGGAGCCCGTGGGGCTGTGTTGCGGCTGTCCGGGGCGTCCATTGGTGTATCTGGGGCCGTCCTGGACCACTTGTGGACCGTCATGAAACTTTCTCGGACGATAAGCACGCGCTTGGGAGCTTTTCAGGGCCAGATGAGTCCACCGTGCCCAGAGGAGTCTGCCCGGGGGAGTTGGCTGGATCTCCCCCCGCCCCCAGGGGAACTCGCCTTACCCCCCCCCCCGGTCCAAACCAGCCGGGCCCGGCTCTGGGCGGAGGGGCTTGTGGAAGAGAAGCCATCTCACACGCTGGGGACCCTCCCAGGGAATGGCGCATCCTAGGTGGTTGGGAGGTGGGCAGGGGGGCGGCGGTGAAGGTGTCGGAGGGTGGACGGCGGGGCAACGCTCGGGGGGGACAATCTCGGGGGGGGACGCATCGACCCCCAATCGCCCACTGATCGCCGATAGGGGCCCGTTAGTTGGCCCCGCCCCACCCAGGACCGCGTGGAGTTGCTATGGGGGGGCCCATCGCCGATGCATTGGCGAGGTATCGCCAATTCCAGGTCGATGTCCCTCCTCCTCCTCCTCCTCCTCCTCCTCCTCCTCCTCCTCCTCCTCCTCCTCCTCCTCCCCCTCCTCGCCCTCCCCTCCTCGGGTCGCCTACGGCCCCGGGGGAAACCGCCCCCCCTGAGCCAGTCCCCTCCTAACGTTCCCCCGTAGGTGGGGGAGCGGTGGCTGGGGCTTTTCCGAAGGGCTTAGGCGACCCCAGTCCTCCTCCTCCTCCTCCTCCGCCTCCTCCTCCTCCGCCCCCTCTTCATTCCCCTCCTCCCCCTCCTCCTCCTCCTCCTCCTCCTCCTCCTCCTCCATCTACAGTTACTCATCATGAATACTACTCTCCTCTCTCCTCTGAGTCTGTGGCGGAATATGTCTCGGAGTGTTCGGCCCTTCCTCGCGTATGGTTTTTTTCCGCAGGATGTCGGCGAATTGGGTTTCCGCTTGTGTTTTTTCCCTTACCATCCTGTGGTGTTGGGTCCTCGTTTTGAAGAGACGGTGCCCCGCGTTCCCTCCTTCCTCCTCTCCTCCTCCCCCTCCTCCCTCCTCCCTCCTCCCACCATCATCATCGTCATCATCATCATCGTCGTCGTCGTCGTCATCATTATCGTCATCACCATGATTCTCGTCATATTCGTCACGTCCATCATCATCATCATCATCACCACCATCATCAGCATCAGCATCAGCATCAGCATCAGCATCATCATCATCATCATCAACATCAACTTCAGCATCATCATCACCATCATCATCATCATCATCATCATCACCATCACCATCACCATCACCATCATCATCATCGTCATCATCATCGCCGCCATCATCACTACCACCCCTCACACGTTTCATGGTGCTGGGTCCTCGTTTTGAAGAGACGGTGCCCCGCGTTCCCGCTACTCCTCCCCCTCCTCCCTCCTGCCGCCCGCATGCGTCACCCCCACACAATTCGGCACACTCCTCACACGTTTCGTGGCCCCATAGGGAGCTCCACCGAAGGCCCCAGTGCTGCCGCCCGCATGCGTCAGGCACACTCATTTCGGCACACCTCTCACGCTTTTCGTGGCCCCATAGGGAGCTCCACCGAAGGCCCCAGTGGCTGCGTTAGCATGCGCCCGCCGCACCCATTTCGGCGTACTCCTCACGCGTTTCGTGGCCCCATAAGGAGCTCCACCGAAGGCCCCAGTGGCTGCGTTAGCATGCGCCCGCCGCACCCATTTCGGCACACCCCTCACGCGTTTCGTGGCCCATAGGGAGCTCCACCGAAGGCCCCAGTGGCTGCGTTAGCATGCGCCCGCCGCGCCCATTTCGGCACACCCCTCACACGTTTCGCGGCCCCACATGGAGTTCCACCGAAGGCCCCAGTAGCTGCGTTCGCATGCGCCCGCCGCACCCATTTCGGCACACCCCTCACACGTTTCGTGGCCCCATAGGGAGCTCCACCGAAGGCCTTAGTGGCTGCGTTCGCATGCGCCCACCGCACCCATTTCGGTACACCCCTCACACGTTCCGTGCTCTACAGGGAGCTCCACCGAAGGCCTCAGTGGCTGCGTTCGCATGCGCCCACCACACCAATTTCGGCACACCCCTCACACGTTTCGTGGCCCCACAGGGAGCTCCACCGAAGGCCGCAGTGGCTGCGTTCGCATGCGCCCACCGCATTCATGTCGGCGCACCCCTCCCACGTTTCGTGGCCCTACAGGGAGCTCCACCGAAGGCCGCAGTGGCTGCGTTCGCATGCGCCCACCGCACCCATTTCGGTACACCCCTCACGCGTTTCGCGGCCCTATAGGGAGCTCCACCGAAGGCCCCAGTGGCTGCGTTAGCATGCGCCCGCCGCACCCATTTCGGCACACCCCTCACGCGTTTCGTGGCTCCATAGGGAGCTCCACCGAAGGCCCCAGTGGCTGCGTTAGCGTGCGCCCGCCGCACTCATGTCGGCACACCCCTCACGCGTTTCGTGGCCCCATAGGGAGCTCCACCGAAGGCCCCAGTGTCTGCGGCACACCCCTCACGCGTTTCGTGGCCCTATAGGGAGCTCCACCGAAGGCCTCAGTGGCTGCGTTCGCATGCGCCCGCCGCACCCATTTCGGCACCCCCGTCACACGGTTCATGGCCCCATAGGGAGCTCCACAGAAGGCCTTAGTGGCTGCGTTCGCATGCGCCCGCCGCGCCCATTTCGGCACACCCTCTGCACGGTTCGTGGCCCCATGGGGAGTTCCACCGAAGGCCCCAGTGGCTGCGCTCGCATGCGCCCGCCGGACCCATGTCGGCACACCCCTCAGGGGTCAGCTCGCGCGTTCAGAGTGTCGCACGTTGGCTGGTGGGGAGGAAAACGCGGGAGTGGGTGGAAATTCGTTGAGGGTTCTCGATTGCGTAAAAGGACAAGACCATCGCGATTTTTTGACTTTATTTTTGAGGCTCGTTGGTGCGTTCGCCTTGCGCATATGCTATCGGACTGTCGCACGTGGGTCGGTGGTTCAGAAATACAGGACCATCGCGAAATTGTTGAAATTGTGTTCAGCGCTCGTTGGAGCGTTCGCTTTGCGCTCGCGCGTTCAGAGGGTCGCACGTTGGCTGGTGGGGAGGAAATCACGGGAGTGGGTGGAAATTCGTTGAGAGTTTTCGAGTGCGTAGAAGGACAAGACCATCGCTTAGACTCGCCCGCGCTCAATCTTTCATGCTCAGACCTATCGTTTTCGTTCGTGTTGTGTTCTCCACCACACATGTCGACACCCCCCATCACGCGGTTCGTGGCCC